GATAACCCGAATTCAGGCTCAATCTCTAAGGCTTTAACAAGGCTTGATGACAAGTCCTGATCCAAGCCTTGAATTACGACATTTCAAAGGCTCAATTGCGCTTCATTTAAATAATAGACATTATTGTTTATACGCATTTATTTGCATCATTACTGATTGTTTACAAACCATTTATCAATTTTTGGAACCCTACAAAATAGTCTGCAGTAGAATTGTTCCCCATAGTTGATGAGCGGTAATTCGTTAATTCTAATTGTTAATTAATTATCAATGGATACAAAAAAAAAAGTTATCATCATTGTTTTCCACTAATTATTCGTCCGGAATCGTTATCGCGTACCTGAAATTGAAATACAATGAAATTATACATTTTAAAAATTCTGCATGCTCGGGGATTCGATCCTAGGTCCTTCAGATCTTCAGTCAGGCGCGCTGTCCACTAGGCTACCGGAAACTTCTTACAATTAGAAGATTTTTTTCCGGATATAAATGTACAAAGTAGTGTTTCTCTGTTTATCCATTCGTTTAAATATTGTAAACAGAATGAATGATGAGCCCGATGAATGAACTAGTCGTAAATCTATTGATTGATCAGTCGAAGATAATAATAATGATAATTATGCAACTGCGTGCACAAAGGACTGTTGCAGGCCTGATTTGGGCCTCAGCTTGGTAGATGTTACGACAAGTTATATTTGTGAACGTGATGATACTTTTTTTACTTTCATTAAATGGTGGTCATTAGTTCAAAAATTTAGGATATAAATCAACGGTTAAATTTTCTCCCGGGGACTGGTTGAGTCCTAGATGAGCCTGGACGTACTCAGCCTCAATACCCAAAGCCTGAAATGAGCCTGAACTGAGACTCGCCAAAGGCCTCATTGATCACCCTCATTTGAGCCTGGATTGAACGATGAGAACAGGCTTGTCTGAGGCCTGAGCCATTGAGCCCTGCCAATACAGGGCTAAAAAAAGACTGTTCTCATCGTCAGCCTGGATAATTCTTACCTGGGATTATTTCAATTCTTTAATGAGTGTTGACCTTTCAATGTTCAGAGTGGAAAAGTGCCTCAGAATGTAGTCATTGTCTTGACTTTTGTATTCACGACTACAACTAGGATTGTCAATTATGTGTATTCGTTTTAGGGAGGCTTTCAAGTGATAATGGTTGCCCCTGACTCTGTTGATCTATGTAATCAGGGCTCTTGAATTTCAGAGCTCTTAGAATTTTTCGAAGAATCCAACCCCTTTAAGCTTAATTTCAGCCTGGTACCTACACACAGAATAACGTAAACATAAATTATCATTAAGAAGTCGTCTTTGACGCTTTATGAAAAGCATTTTCCGATTCAAGTTGGAGAGTAAATTACGCTCGAAGTCACTGTAAATTACGATGACATAAACGCAATTTACGGTTTTGTATCCGTAATTTACCATGTTTTTTTTGCTAAGGACGAGAAAAAAGAAGTTATTTCATGCATCAAATACAATATTTTTTCGGTAAATTATGCATAAGTAAATCGTAAACGATTCCATGACTTTTGATCTGCGGACAAAATTTCCGCGACAAAATAACCGACGACAATATATCCGTCGACAATTTTTCCACCAACAATTTCCCCCACGTTCAATATTCCCGACATACAAAATATCCACCGCCAAATTATTCGGTTGTTTTCAACAAATTTCATTCTCTTCTAAATCAATATTAAAAGCCAAAAAGAAAAAAAAATTCACAATTCATAAATACATTTAATTTCCAACTTCAAATCAGAAACAAATAAACAACAGATTTTACATGCAATTACAGTGTCTCCTCTTCTTCAGAAAACAAATTCCCTTGGATTTATACAAACAACCAACTTCCATAAATCAATAAATATACATTAAAATCGTTCATTTCATTCAAATCTTCGCATACTAACAAATGATTAGTATCACAATTCTAAACAAAATTCACATTCCCTTCGCTTCAGTCTTAACCACACGGAGAATACACCAAAAAAATCATCACAACGGCTTCTATTTCAAGATGGCCGCGTCACGTTTCAAATAATTTAATTTGTCTTTAGAATCGTAAGAAGATACAATGTTCTTGGTAACATTAAAAACATCGTCACAACATTTACAGCCTCAAAATAGCCACAAGACGTTTCAAGTAATTCAATTTGTCATTAGAATTGTAAGAAGATACAATGTTCTTAAAACGAAAAGAAAGGGGGGTCATCGGGAGCCCTCGCTAATTACTGTTTACCATTCAAAATTGTAAAGATATGAAATATCGGATAATTTCTCGATGGATATAATGTACCAGGGATGAATTATCGGCAGAATAGATGTCAACAATACAATTGTCCCTGGAAAAATTGTCTTCAGTTTTCTATTCATTTGGAAACTTTGTCGCGGAAATTTTGTCCGCGGATCATAAAGCGTGTTATCATCGTAAACTACGTTTCTATTAAGATCGTAATTTACGATTTCGTAAGCATGAAATATAGGGGAGGCGATGCCAGTATCGCTCAGCAGCCAATACCGCTCACCTGATTTTCCCCACAACCACTTACTTTTCCCAAACTATCTCTTATTCAATCTGAGAACTCTACTATTAGAGTAATTCTCATGATAATTTTTGTTTTTTCACTACTTTAAATGATAATGTTTTTCTCACGCGATTTAATTGACAAATTTAACGATTGAAAATGGTTGAATCACTATAGTGTGATCTGTATCAAACTGTAAAAGATACTTGGATATCCTTAATTCGCCTATGCGCAAGGATGTAGTGGAACCATATGGAGCTATAAGATTTATTATTCTTTCTAAATTTTGCATATTTTGCTACAATCTCTACAAGATATGCGTTTGCCTTGGCATCTCTTTTGTTTAACTGAAACGAATTTTCCGGAAAAAGGGTCTAATTTTTCAGTCCATGTAAACCAATATTATTTAAATTAATCATAGCGTCCCAAATGATCTGAAACATCATAGAGATATGGAATCCCATAAAAATATCTCGTACATTTCCGCAAGTAATACCACGAGAGCTTCAAAATTACCGAGCAATTCCCGATAGGTTCGTTGCAAACAAACGAAGGAGTCAAGTTTTTCAGGTTAAACAATCACGAGTGCGAAGCACGAGTGATTTTTCCTGAAAAATAGAAAAAATATTTCCTGGAAAAAAGTGAGTTCCTCTGAAAAATCCATGAAAAAATCGAAACCATCAAGTATTACTCTTTATCCGCAAAATCTTGAAATTTCATGTAACTTTCTTTCCGCCCATTTTTTTCGGAGTATTCATTAGGAAATTTATGTATTATTACTTCAATTTTTTATTGAAAGCAATTTGAAAATGTTCATTTGATTTTTTTTTCTTTTGTCATTTGGTTTTTGTTTAGTGGGGGGGGGGGTTCCGCCCCAACCCCCCCACCAGGGGGCTGCGACCCCTTCTTCCCGCCCGGCTTCTTCCCCTCCGCCTCCTTCTCGGACCTTTATGACGAAAAATAGTATGTGTCATTCAGACGATAGCGTCGGTTTGTGAGTCATGTGAGTTTGCAGCACTCCTCACAAATCTCCGCTTACCGTCCTTATGACACAATATACTAATTCTAGCACTACTTCTTCGTTATTCGATGCTCCCATACATATTTTGCTCCCAGCAAATGCTCGTTTTATCTGACACGAGGGACAGTAGGTTGTCGTTTCGGCTATTCAAGAATCACAGACCAAAAATGAATTTTTAAGTGAAATCAGAATAATGATATGACAGCAATCCGGTAACTTAGGGACAAAATATTTCTTGATAAACTGCCCTCTATAAAAGATACGTTTATCCTGTGAAGGCACCGTCCTGTATGAATGATTCGCCTCTTGAGCCAAATATTACGTTGTTGTTGAAAGCAGAGCAATTATGCATGTTTGAGACTTTCAAGTTCTAACCAAACAATTATTTTTTTGGTAATTTTCAACTAACGATTTTGCTGGCCCAAGCAAGACGTGTTTGAGAACTTCGTTTCATTCATCGTTTTTCTCTCAGTGTATTGTTTACTGAAAAATAAACATGATCACTGATGCCATTGCCTCGGGGGATTTCAGAAACCACCACTCTCCTTTATCATTCACATCTCTTCTTTTTCTCCTCTTCGTGTGAATACAAATGGGAATCCACTTGTCCCAACACGGGATTTGTGTGTTTCCCGGAAGTTTCAGGGAAAAGGAGCGATACGGACATAAAATGATGGAAGTGGATCGATGAAAACAAATTCTCCTATCCCACTGGGTTTCAGTGATTATTTCCTCGTTTTATAAGTCACTAGGGAGGCAGTACTACTCGCGCGGATATCATTCAGAGATTCAGATGAGACAGGTCAACTTGCTCAGACATGCGTTTTACATTTTTTCTCAACTCTTAATATTACAACTTATGTTAAATCCAACTCCATCACGATTATGGCCTTTTGTTGTTAGTATTTCTTTTTTTTTTTTTTTTGTTCATATGAAATGCTATAGCAGAATGATTTTTAGTCGAGAGGTTAGATTCTTGTTTTGGTACAACTTATCTCACGAATGAGAATTAATTTTTAAGACCGGGTTTCCCCAGGAAAAAAACTTTTTCGTTTTTCGAGAAAAAAAAAATTAAAAATCCCATTTTTCAGACGGATTTTTCCTCAGGAATCGAATTTTGTAGGTCATACCGTGGGGGCTCCAGTTATTGCGCGGTTAAGGAAAATGTTCATGTCAAGAACGGTTTATTCGCGTTCTACTTATCAATAATACGTCTGAGGGCTCTAATGTGATCCCTGAAGTTTTCCTAACAGGAAAATAATGGATTTTGATGAAAATACCCGGGAATCAGATAAATATTCAAGAAAAGACAACAGAGTTCTTAGTAGGTGGTGATCGAACGCCCAAAATTGACCCACCCCATTTCTCAGAAATCAGGCTTGCAGTTATCGGACAATATGGATAAAAAGGAATTGGCCGGGAAAAATGAGAGAAATTGCTTATGCATAACATATTTAAGATAATTTTATTATTTTCCCATCAACGATAAACTGTTTAAAAATAAAAAATGACTATTAACCAATAATCAGGTACAAATAAGAAATAATTGCGATTCCATCTTATCCTCCTCTAGAAGCAATTTTGGCTGGAGGGCTGTTGATATCTTGACGCAACACTTTTATCATCTATCAGTTCTCTTTCGAGAAATGAGGTCGGGGTCATCCACCCTGTGTCTGAACGACCAATGGTGTATTCTTTAGGTGGGAGAGATGCGACAACAGCAGGTATCCTAAGGTACCTGTACATAATCATCTATGATACGCACTGGCCAACAGCATTCCCACAAAACAAGATCGTGAGGCACTCCTCCTCATGATTCTTCACCTTATTATATGCATAATGATCTCCTCGTTTCATTAGCACTTTTTACCCTTTGGACACAAATTAAATCCTGACTCATTGTAATTAAAAAGCCTGGAGCCATCAATATCCAGTAGATTTTTCGAAGTTAAATATTTCCTCGTATGATCAAACTACTGGCGCATTATTTCTTCAGTGATGTCAGCTCTAGTGCACATAATGTTCTCCGACACTCACGTATTTCAGGGTTACGTCGTTTGAAAAACTTGTACCAATGTTTACTAGGGCGACCATTAATAAAAGCACTCTTTTTGCCCAAAGATTTCACTACTTTTTGGACAGAATTAAATAGTTGCTCCTTGGTGATAGGGAATTCAGCATCGGCCATGTATAAGATCCATTGCACAAGCTTTTTCTGATACAATTTTCCCAGGACACACCCAGGAACTGATTTGATGACTTCAGGTGTTGTTTTGCCAATTATTTTATCATGTAGAGTTGATTTGGGAATACAGAACTCTTTGCTCACTGAGCTCAACGTTCTGCCAGCCTGAACAGCCTCCAGAGCTTTTTTCAAAATCTCGTCTGAATATTGAGATCTTGACTTTATGTCTTTTGAAGCGTTCGTAGGTGTGGACCTGAAAGACAAGAAAACTGAGTGATTTTGTTGTTCTCATTTTTATTCTACATTTTTATCAATACTCTCATGATGAATAATGAAAAAAAAATGATGAACTGAATATTTTTATGACAGGAGAGGCCTTTTGACAAGACGAATCGGTTGAGGTTAGGAGAAGGAGAAATACACGTCTGTTCACTGCAGTAGCCAGCATTTCGGACACGTAGATTTCGGAAACATGATTTCTCTAGCAATAATAATTTATTTTTTCGTTGTTTTTCATTTCTACATATTCTCAATTGATCCCTTTACACAAACAAATTGCTCAAAATCATTTTTCTACTTACATTTTCAGGTTAAATCCTTATGAATCATCCAGCAATCCTAGCGTTCGCACATACTACCCACCACTCATGCACTGTATCAGTCACCAGACTATCAACTTGAATTTTTTTAAATTCCCGGTAATTCGTGAGAAATTAATAAATATCGCGTTTTGTGCCGAAACTATCAAGCTGTATTTACAGATTTTCCAAAATGGCCACCGATGATGAAGGCTATTTGAAAAATGCAAAATTCTGCCATAAGAGCGCTCGATTTCTGACAGAACGGTACCGTCCGATCACTGGTGCCCCCACGGTAATTGTCTCCTGCCACTTAAAAGTGAAGAATCAATTTTTTTTTAATCGAATAATGAACTTAACAAAACCACGTTTGTATGCGGTTACTATTACATTTGACTTCATCTTATTTCACGCCAGCAATTTACAATGGCCTTAGCTTCTATACATTATAGTGATTTCAATTCTATTTATTAAAATCCATCCAATTTCATATATGTTTTGAAACCCATCGGACTGAATGGAGGAAGAACGGAATAACAAAGAGTTCAGGAATTTTAATTAAAAATTTGATATAAAACAAATGGAAGAGATTCCAGGAGTCAACTCTCCTCCATTCCAGAGGTGTTATTCTACTCGTACTTCTATTTTTCAATTGAAACTCACTCCAACGAGTGGATACCATGATTTTAATTAAAATCTATTTTACGAGATCGATAAGCTAGAGCGGTTAGAAAACAGTAATTTGGGCATGAGGAATTTAATTCAATTCTGTACCCAATTTCAGTAATACTCTTGTGTTACCAATTAACAAGGAAACCCTAACTGCAAACGCCTTTGGGCGCGAGAAGTTTATCAGCAATTCCTTATCACTTTCTCTTGCTCAGAAAATGATTAATGGCAAATGATGGTTATCAGCAGGACCTAGTATCCTCTGTCCTAGTATCCTCTATTTAGTAGTGATGGTAATGCAATATGAGGTCAAGAGTGATTTATTGTTGTTAGCAACTGCCCGGGAAAAGCCGATTACCAAAGTTTTCCATAAATTCCTCTCGACTCCATTTCGAGTTGAATCCTGAAATTCATCCGAATCCTCGCCTGGATGCATTCAGTGGTAATACTTCTCAATCTCACTCAACTTGGTTGTTTTTGCGAGGGGATACTGAGGTTCGGTATTCGCAGAGAATTGTAAACACGTTTGGAGAGAGAAATTTCACGGTAGAATGAATTTGAAATTATTCAAGTTTCAAAAAGTGACATTCGCATCGTATCACAGATGTTCCATGGTAATTATGAATTTGGTGCAAGAATGCAAGAACTATTTGAGGTGCGAATACGCAAAGATTAAAGTAATTAAAGTATTTCATAAGCGAAGCTCCCATTAATCTTCGTAGGAAACTGTGAGAATAGTATTGGAATAACATCACTTATTGATGAACAAAATTAATTGTGAATGAAGATGATGAATGGAAACGGTTGACAGTGATTCTCTGAGATCTTTAATAAAATGTTTTTTGGAGTCAGAATGGGGCGATGGGGTGTCTATCGGAATTCGAGAAATTCTCCAGTTTTTTTAAGAAATAAATTATAATGTTGACAGATCCTTAGCGCTGGTCAGCAATATACCTACAGTTGGCTATTATTGCACGAAGTAAATAAAATTTGTGGATCCGTGTTAAGATTCGCAAGGGCCGTATTTGTATGTGACGATTTCTTTGTGAAATAAATATATTGAACGTTTCTTTGAGGATTTTAGTTGTATATAACAATTCAATCGTATCGTGATTATAAAAACCGTCTCATCATGACGAGGCGATGCGAAATAGTTACTCGTTCTCATAGACCTATATAAATATATACAATGAAAAACTATGATGTTTAATTGTTCAGTGAAGGAAAGAGAAGTTCATGGATGTATCCACATAAAATTACGGCTGTATCAAAGATACAGGCAACCGCGGATTTTTTCTTCACATCCAGTGTATCGATATGTAATATACTCATGATCAGCCATAGCCAAATCCATAAAATTTGATTACCGTTAAATATTGCAGCCGACAGTTAGTTAACATCACTCTTCAATTTTTCGATTATTGAAGTATAAACAATTCCAATATTCAAATTTTCAACTATTTTATTTATGAATGATTGAGGAAAGAAGATTGACGATTATTTGTTTAATTGAAACGCGCGCCCCGGGTAGCAAAATTTTCGTGTTTGGAAAATCTTCCGAATATCTTTGCAAGAATCTTCGGAAGATTATCTCGAAGATCTTTTTGGTGACCCAAAAAGATTCTTCGGGAGACAGAATCTTCCAGAGAGATTGTTGGAAGATCCTCAGGAGACGACTTTTTTTTCTATGAAATCTTCCGGAGAAAATGTTGGAAGATCTTCGGAAGACAACTTCTTTTCCCGAAAATCTTCCATGGAAGATTGAGAGTCTCTGCAGAGACAATGTTGGAGGATCTTCGGAAGACAATTTTCTTTCCATGAAATCTTCAAGAGACAATGTTGGAAAATCTTCGGAAGACAACTTTTTTTGTCTGCGGAAGATTTTTTAGCGAATTTTTTCCTGTCAAAAGTTGACAAGTCGATGTAGGGAGATGTTCAGGAAGGCAACGAGTCGAACATGAAGGGGGTGGAATCCTTCTTGCGTGGAGAGCATTCGCAGATTGAATCATTGTGGCAATGGATTGGGAAACATTTTATCCCCTACCTTTGAACCTCGTGTCCCCCTCTTGCTCCTTTATTATTGATCCTCATCCATGTCCATATCCTGGCGATTATATTAAATTTCCCACTTTCGTAATTCTCCAACTCCAAAACTCCCCAACTACGAAACTTCTTCACATTGAAGCTCTCCAGCTTCCAGACGCTCTTATTTAAACATGTCCCAACTTCAGTGTCCCAATTTCAAAAAATTTCCAACTTCAAAATTGGCTAACTCCAAAAATGTTCAACTTGAAAATTTTTCAACTCCAAAGTTGACCCACTTTGAAATTTTTCAACTTCCAAGTTGGTCACTTGAAGAATTTTCTATTTCAAAGTTGACCCACTGCGAAATTCTCCCAACTTCAAAATTGATCCACTTCGAAATTTCCTCAGCTTGAAAATTGGCCCACTTCCAAATTCGTCAATTTCGAAATGCTTTTACTTCAATGTTGACCAACTTCAATGTTGAACTTTCCACTTCAATGTCAACTTTTCACCTTCAAAGCTAACCCACTCAAAAATTCTACAACTATAATGTTGACCCATTCCAAAATTCTACAACTTCAAAGTTGATTCATTTCAAAAATATTCAACATGTAAAATTTTAAACTTCAAAGTTGACTCACTTTGAAAAATTTTAACATGAAAAATGTTCAACTTCAAGGTTGACCCACTTTGGAATTTTTCAGCTTCAACGGTGACTCTAATTTTTTTCCAATTCAAAGTTGACTTCAAAATTTTCCAACTTTAAAGTTGACCCACTTCGAAATTCTTCAATTTTGAAGTTGATTCACTCCAAAATTTTACTGATTTCAGAACTGACCAACTTCAGAATGATTCAACTTGAACGTCGATTGACTTCAAAACTGACCCACTTCAGAATGACTCAACTTTAAAGCTGACCCACTTGAAAATGGTTCAAATTCAAATTTGACCTACATCAAAACTCTAATTTTTTAAGTTGACCCACTTCAAAATTGACCAACCCCCAAATTTTTCATGCTCCGAAATTTTGCCTGCTTTGAAATTTTTCATCTTAAAAATTGACCCATTCCAAGATTGATCCACTTCAAAATTTCACAGCTCCTAAATCAACTCCGAGATTTTACAATTTCAACATTTTACAATTTCAAGATTTTACAACTCCAAGATTTTACAATTTCAAAATTGACTCACTTCAAAATTTTACCACTTTGAAATTGACCCACTTCGAAAATTTTCCAACTCTTGAGGCTGGATCGTTCGTTCGTTTACAACCGAGTTGTATGTGATTCATAAGCGCACTATGGGTCGCATACGATTCGCTTGCGAGCGAATGAACGATTCAGCCATATCTGTGAGGTCCATGAGAATTAAAATGTGCTATATTTGAGACTCCTGAGAGTTTACACCTGTGCTCAAGATCTTGGCCAGCCGAGGCGGCCTCCGATCCGCACTGTTTCTCATTACATGTGAGTCGCCGGATGACAGTACTCCTCATAAAGCTCAGTGTGATCTCTATCATCTTTTTGAAAATCTATTTTCTAAAAAAAGGTGGTGACATTAATGATCTCCTCATGGCGATAGGGTCGAGGTTGGAACTTCAAGAAACCTATGACTTCTTATTAGAATCCAACAAGTAGAGACAAAAATTTCTGTACTTTATACAGAAATAGAAATATGCGGAGTGACGTGGCATTTACGAGTGAGACTTTTGACCCTATGGCAGCCAACATCTTGGGATACTTCCGCAGTATCTATTGATGTGAAAAATTTCGCAATATACTAGAGAGCCCAAATTTGGGTAATATTTTATTGGATACGTTGAAAGACGATCACCAAAATTTCAAGGATCTTGACCACCCCGTTTTTGAGATATGCGTTGTCGAAAATGAAAAGAAACGATAATTTCAATTTTTGACAATGCATATCTCAAAAATGGGTCGTCAAAATCTTTAAAATTTTGGCAATCGTCTTTCAACGTATCCAATAACATATGATCTAAATTTGGGTTCTCTAGCATATTGCGAAATTTTTTACATCAATAGATACTGCGGAAGTACCTTAAATATTCAAATGTTAGATTACGACATTTAAATCTCATGTAATTTACTTTTATAAACCGACGGCCGTGGCTGTGTGGTTAGAGTATGGGATTGGCACGTGAGGGACCCGGATTCGATACCCGGCTGGGGAGCCTGGGTAGGTTTTTCCGTCAAGTGAGGTTTTCCCTCGTCCTTCGGCGAATGTGGTACAGGGAGTTGGGGGGTGGGAAGGGAGCAAATCGTGAAAATCCGAAAGGGTATACGAGAGAAAATAATTTTTTTTTACTTTTACAAAAACCACAATCGTCCATATTTGACTTCCACAACATGAAAACAAAAATTTTTCACTTGCCTTTCGAAGAGATAAAAATCTATACCTGCCCTACGTGATGGATGCAATGATTAATCCACAGTGCCAAACTACCTTATATTTGAAGTGGACACGTCTTTACTTCCATGT